TCTTTGTGTCTGTAACCTTTAACTGGTGAAATGGTGCATCATAGGGCAAAATTTGTCAACAAAGATACCTCAAATGGGCCAAATTTGAGAAAGAGCAAGGAGGAAGGAAGCCCCTCACACACTTCATGGCCAAGCCACCTCTCTCACACATTTCCCCAACCTGTGCCACTTCCCCTGTGTACCTTCACCAATCTGTACAGCACCTCTTGCCCCCTCCCCAAGACATGCTGCCCCCTCGTGCATCATCCATGATCTGCACAGCATTTTTCACAAACTTCCAGCATTCCCATGACTTCCTCAACCCAGATGGTATGTCTTACACACACACACACTTACAATTATGTTTCAAAAATTCAGCATATAGCAGAACCATCACATTCTTTGATTTCATAATTTTAACAATTAATCTAATGTATACTCATAAGCAGATTTCATATTTTTAAATTTATTTTATTTAAAATATTTCTTGTTTGTTTGAATTAAATTCAAAATAGTCTCTTTAAAAGTAGGGGGAAATCTGTTTAGATGACATTAACATCTGTTTTTGTCACTTTTTGGCTGTCCTTCTTACACTGTGAATCTAGGCAGTATTGTACGTAAGGCATGATATATGGCATAAATGACTATTTGAATCCACTTAACCGTGTTTTTTTTTACATAAATTGTGGTTAAGCCGACTATGGAGCCAATGAAAATCTGCTTTTGATTTTGTAACTGCAGGATTCTGCACAAACTCTCTCCCTACTCTACAAATCTTGATAGGTCCTAATAAAAATTCAATTAGGGAGTAAAAGGAACTGATCAATATGAGATTTATTCTTTTTATATTATTTTAATATTGAAAAGACCCACTTTAGATTCAAAACTAGCATGTATGAGTAGTTATTTCTATTTGTCCTATGATATTATGAACATTCATGTTTATGTTGCCATTTGTCCAACTTGGGAAAAATTAGATAACATGTTTTTCATAATGTGCGAACACCAGTTTGGAGGACAAAGTAGATTTTAAAAAATGGAATTGTGAAAAGAAGTAATTCTGTTAATAGAAGAGAATATTTGTAGCTCATACTTGAACTGTGGAGTCCTTGGTGTTTTCCATGTTTGGTTGTTTTCTTGCAGACATTTAATTACTCATCTAGATAACAGCTCCAGCACTGAAGATGTTACTTAGTTGGGTAATGAAACTTCTGCAAGAAAATAACCACACTCAGAGTACCCCAAGGACCCCACAGTAATTTTATTCTCCCAGCACAGATTCAAATTATTCCTCACTGCAACGGTTTTCTTCCTCAAAAAGCCCCCTACCTAATGATTCCAGTATACATACATATCTCACAAAATGTATATATTCTAATGTGATTGTCACTGTAACACTCTGATTTTTTTTTCATGTTAAATCACTACTTTATGATAAACTGAATTTTACTTTCTGCATATGACCAGCAGGGGTCTCCCCAACACCGTTGCAAGAACCCACAATACTCTTCAGGTGGAAGTAATGAGGAAGAATTTTAAAATCTGAGTTGTTTCTAGTCAAGAAGCAACTTGCTTTAATTTTCTATATATTTCCGTGTTTCCTTATAATGTATTCATTTTTTTTCCATCGCACTGTTTTCTGTCTGGGGAAGATAGTGTTGGCAAAGAGCAGGTGACAAAATGATCTCTGAGTAACCGGTACTTCCCACACAAATACAGTATATGTGGTTTGAATCAGGAAAAGCAAATGGAAAATGAGGGTTTTTTTTAATCATGTGTCCACAGGACCTACTTATTCATCTTAACTGAAAAATTGATTTTGTTAATTTCTTCTTGAAAGAAAGCAGATTATGAATTGTTCTAAGAAATCAATAAAATAAATAGCTTCCTTTTTATAGAACAAGGTTACACCATGTGTTGGCGTAGGCTGCTTTATCATTTTTTTCTTAGCATGTTTTCAGTCAAAATAAGGGAGAGAAGACCTTGCTAAATGAAGATCTTGCTGATTGCACCAATATTTTTCTAAGCTCTGCAAAACATTAATATGCAAACTCATCCCCTGACATCTTACAGGATAATGAAAATGCTTCAGGCGGCACCTTAAGGAGGGAGAGCAGGTGGGTATAACAACAAAGTTTAACTCTATTATTAAATTGTGCCGTGGATAATTAAAAAGCAGGTTGGGTTGAGATGTTCTGCAGTCTTTCAAAGTAGCCGCTGCAATATGAAACCTCTACTTGATGACTGGCCCACTGCCAATAAGTATTAGACATGGTGGAAAAAGAATAGTACAAAGCCAGAAAGAAAGAAAGAAAGAAAGAAAGAAAGAAAGAAAGAAAGAAAGAAAGAAAGAAAGAAAGAAAGAAAAAGAAAGAAACCATAAAAGATTTCATCTCTTTGCTGTCTGAAATTCTGGACATTGCTTTAAATTTGCAGGACACCAGTTTGCAGAAAACATTTTTTTAATACAAGCAATGCTATTAAATATAATGGAGGTGCAACCATCAAAAACATATGTTGGTGGATGAGTGCCTTTCAGAAAGTATTGGATTTCTGCCTCATCAGGTACAGTAGTCCTCAACTTAACATCATTCATAGTGACTGTTTGAAGTTACAATGGCTGTGAAAAAAGTGACTAACAACCCATCCTCACACTTGCAACAGCTGCAGCATCACCCTTATGTGATCAAAATTCAGGCACTCGTCCACCAACATATATTTTCGATGGCTGCAGCATCCTGGAGTCATGTGATCACCAGTTGTGACCAAGCGAAATCAATGGGGAAAGGAAGCCAGATTCACTTAACAACTGCATGATTCACTTAACAACCATGGCAAAAGAGGTCGTAACATTGGACACAATTCATCTAACTTGCTTAGTAGTAGAAATTCTGGTCCCAACTGTGGTTGTAAGTTGAGGACTACCTGTATACCATAATACTGCAAATGACAACCTTCATGAAGAACCATCCAGCACTGTACTGATGCTACTAATCCAGGATTGGGCTAACCAGAAAGGGCTTACCTGCCCAGGTGAGCTTTTCTGAACTCTAGTGTTCACTTGTTGTCTTTTAGCCCTTTCTTGGTTTGTTCTCCATTTCTAAATTCTTCCACAGCTCTGTCTTCCTATTTCTCCCTGTCATGGATGCTGAGAATATTTCATGCAACTTATTTGCTGAAGCTTTGGGATAGATGTAGTCCTGCTTAGTCAATCCATCAGCTATGAGCAAATGAACAATTATCTTATTCTCTTGCATGGTTGGGGATTATAATAATTGAAACCCAATACATCAGGAGGAGCTCCAGGCTGTTGATGGGTCTCTAAAATATTACATCCTGGAGTCATTAGTTGAGCTAGGAAATTTAAATATTATCTGTGTTAATATTCTCAGTCGTGTAATAGTGATTTATTGTGATATTTTTAATGGTGTGGAGTACAATTAAGGCTGATCTGCTCTCTTTCCCATAGCACACCAACCTTTTCAGGTTTTACAATGCTTCTACACAAACAAAAGACAATTTGTAAAGTTAACCTTGTTCATCACATACTCTAAATTGAAGCACCATTGTGACTATGGGACTTTTAAGATTTGTTTCTTTTGCCCAAATCTTAAAAATAAGTACTTTGGAAATAAGTACTATTTTGCTGTAGAAAAGAGTAATATCCATAAACAGAATAAAACGAGCATCTGGAAACATATACATGCCTTGATAATTCTAAAGCAGAGGTCCCCACCTTTTGGGGACCAGGGACCAGTTCTGTGGAGAAAGGTTTTTCCACAGACCAGACAGTCCATGGTTTTGTGTGCTGCCTGCATTCCATGGATGGGGCTTTGCTTATTTGTGCAGACCGGCTGCTGGCATGCTGTGGCCTGGTACCGGTCCACGGCCCAGGGGTTGGGGACCCCTGTTCTAAAGCATATTTGAAAAGAAGAGATGGTTCAATGACGAGCATCCTCAAACTCATTAAGGCTTGGCATTACAGTGTCGCCTCAGATTGTCACAATAACATCTAGTTGCACCACTATTTAGAATATTATGGAACTTTTAAAGTAGTGGCTTGAAAGAGCCAACAACCTGTCTGCCATCTTAGATACTACAGAATCCAGACTTCACAAAATGACAAAAATAGGCTTATGTCATCTTAGTTCAAGCTCTGCCTCTTTCGTATGTTGTGATGTATGCACAAAAAGGCTGAAACTTACAGGTTATTGGCATAACGTCTTTACTTGTCCCCCTCAACTCCAGATACTTTTAAAGCAGAATTTAGCCAGCCTTCTGAAAGAGTAACCATGGCAAGAACTGTTTAGAATTGCCAGTTTTTTCCAAGTTGTTCTTTAGAATCCCTCTTTTGGAAATGTATCAAAGTAAGTGGAGGAGAACTCTAAAAGAACACTTTCGAGAATGTTAGCCATATAATGCATTGCAATAA